CATGATTTATGAGGACACTTCCTGTGTCCCCGTAAACCAAATTGCTTAAAAAACATAATGTATTTTGTGTATTTTGAAATTAAAAAATTGAGTGTGTGTGTGCACGCTGTTGTAGGCTGGGTTTACAGAAAATAGATTATACAATAATAGACAGAATATAAAAGAATATAAATAAGAATATAAAGAATATATTCATTTGGCATCTCAAAACATTAATTTTCCATGGTAGTCTATGATATTATGGTGAGTAAATAATAACCAAATTTAAATTTCAGATATTATTCCTTTATTTGCAAAGTAGTCTATTGGACATACCGTGTTTTTGTGCACGTTTTAACACAATAGGATTAAATTAGTGTTATAATTAAAACTTGAACTCACAAAAACTCATAATACTTAAGTTAACTAACAATTAATTCATTTAATTGTTGTATTTTGCTAGAGCTTGGTAAAATTTCAGCAGCTGAAAATTGAAGGAAAATGTCAAATATCTGCTTTGTCTGTGGGTGAAAAATGCTTAGGGTGCTTAAACTTGGTCTGATTCAAAACAAGATTAGGTCAGCACTGGATCTCATTTAGAGGGACTTGCTGACCAAACGGCACTGAACAAGACTCAAAACTCATTTTTGGCAAACAGGAAAGGTCACTGAATGAATTTGAAGGACAATTTTCTTGTGAATGGGTTTAAAAGATTTTATTCAAAATATAATTGCCTTCAAATGCATCTTTCAGAAACATTGTCATGCCCACAATTGAATCTTTTACACAGCTGGGATACTTTCATTTTGTTACACCATTTTCCTTTGAGAGTGATGGATTATTAAATATATTTTCTAGAATTGCAAAACTTCATGGTGCATCCTGGGATGCTTCATACTGAATCTTGAGGGTGAAAGTTTGCCAAAACTTAATTTAACAGATTTGTGGTTTATGACTAAGTCTTGGTAATGTTTGAATAACATTACAAGTAACTCTATAAACCTGAAGTTTTTCATGTATGTCTTAATTTAAAATAGCAGTGTGTGTGCAAGCCAATTCATACTTAAAGTAAATACAGCTTATACTATAGATGACTTGAGCATCCATATACAATGTATATGTATATGCAGTATGTGTGCAAAGTGTTTGTGTGTGTGTGTATAGTGAATAAATATGGTAAAGTACTAGCACATCTAGTGTGGCTAAACACAAATGGATGTGCAATTTAGCACACAAAGAGAGACAGGCAAATAGGAAAGGAAAAAAATAATAGGAGTTATGAGGAGGCATAAGCAGGGGTTGAAAGAAAAAATAATCACTTTTCATTGAAAAGGCCTCCTCCTGAGTGTGAACATATTAATATTAATGGCTGCATTCCTCTGATTCCAGGCTCACTCAGACAACGCCTTTATTTGACCTGACAGTTACAGCCCCACAAATACAATAGGGTTATTCAACATTTCCCTTTCACTGCTTTTCATATTCAGTCCAACAAAAGAGGAGTCCAGAGGAAAAGGTGTTTATAAGAATTTAGGATAATTCTCTGTGAAAGGATGGATAAAAAAGTTTTGCCCCATGAAGTGACATAAAGTGCTCTTTTTCATACAGTGCAAGTGAATGGTGACCACAGGCTATCAAACTTCAAATATAAAAAGCACTAGATGTACATCATGCATTAGTCAAGTGGTTCTCAAACTTTTTATGTCAAGTACCACCTCAGAAAATATTTGGCTCTCCAAGTACCACCATAATGACCAACATTAAAATACAGTAGCGTAGTAGGCCTAATTATTCAGCTACAGCTCTGCACAGTTAAAAAATGAGGCAGTTTTATTCCTAATACGAATATTTATTGTTGTCAGCCACTTTAACATTGTAAATACACAGTTTGAACATTAACACTGCACTGTGCTTACAGTAAATAAAAAACAGGTAAATAAAAAACGTAATGATTAAATTAAAATGTGTTGTACCTAAAAGTTAAATAAAAACTAAACTGTACTTGGGCCTATAGACGATGCCATCGTCCATCGCCGATGGCTGACAGACATCACGATGTTAAGCTGACATCGCGATTCCTGCCCACCCCCCACCCCATCTCCCTCAATCCGCCGCATCCCAGTTTTGTGTTCGGAAAGGAAATTAAGTGTACTACGGAAACCCTAAAGGGAATAAATAGCCTACGAGATGGGAGGATAAAAAAATATTTCAATATTTCAAATGATATCGTTGGGTAAGTATGTATATAAATTGCGGGCATCAGGGAGCCGCTATTGAAACCGCTTTCGATTGCGCGCTCTCATTTTACTTTCACTTTCACTTTTGAGATTCGCGATCACAAGGACTATACTATGGAGAGGCAGTACTACACATTTGACTTTCGATTGCGCGCTCTCATTTTACTTTCACTTTTGAGATTTGCGATCACAAGGACTCTATACTATGGAGTGGCAGTACTTACCACACATTTGACAAGATTAGATGTTTGTCATTGGTGCTCAGGATCTGCAAATCATTCGCCATCGTCCTATCAGACATTTCTCCTTAATCGGTATATGTGGTAAGTGAACTTTCATGTACTGCAATGCAACAGGCTACCGCTAGCAAGCGGCTAACCTTTTAGTGGCTCCGTATAACGCGTTATTTGTTTCACGCTTCAGGCACACCCCTAACCCCGCCCCCCCGATGTCATCGTCCGTCACGATGTTTCACTGTAGACATCGTCCGATGCCAATTTGGTAGACATCACCCAACCCTACTCAGGAGTCATATGAACCACTTTTATAGTCTTTGTTGCCACTTTTAAAGCTTGACAATACTTAGTCTCCATTCACTTTCAATGTATGCAAACAAAACTCTTTCTTTGAGTCCCTTTAAAGCTTTGCACATTATGTAGATGTAATCAAAAGGTATTATTTTTCCACAGTTGCTTCAGACATTCATTTTCTTTTAAACCTCTCTTGAGCATCTTCATCAGATAGACCGAGTTGACATAGACACTGCCAGCGGCTGTACTCCTCCACAGGGGCTCGGGCGCGTTACCAACTCGTGGTCCACCAGCTGCTGTCAGCCGTCCGTAATCGTGTATGTATCTAAGAAGCGTTCAAGCAGATTTATGCATTCAATTTGAACTTCTTAAATGGAGAATCCCACGTACCCCATAGCAGTTTTCCTCCGGCCCAAGCATTTGACTTTATCCGTCCCTTTTATCTGTTGCTGAGAGCTTCGAGCCGGCATCGGGGAATGATATGTGGCTAAGGAGAGAGAGCGAACATGAGCATCAATCCCTAAAGTAATTATCTCAGCTCCTCCTCATTCCAAAAGGCTAAATATAAGTGAAGTTTTTAGCTCCCAGTGGCAGCCATGTTGCCTTTGATAAACGGTGCGACTATAAAATTCGGGTGCGAAAGCGAGTATGTGTGTATTCTGCGTTCACACAGCCTGGCTAGGAGTATAAATTCTCCTGCACGCAGTCCGTCTTTCTGCCATGCACAGTCGCTCGCACGCACACACAAAAGCAGATACAGATAGGCGGGCGAGTGTGGTTGTGCTAGATTGGAATTGTCAGAGGTGTCACATTAAATGTGCTATTATTAAGTCCAGGCTGAATTTTATGGCCTTGCAGGATCGTAAATTGGTTGGTCAGTCCCTTAAATTACGTATCCATCGAGCGATGTGCTCTATCCGTCCTCACTTTTCTCCTGCTTTACTTTCTCTTACTCTCTTTCTCCCCCTCCCTTTCAGCGCGTACATATACACGAGAGCTTGATCTTGACTCTGTGGCCCTGGTTGAAATGGATGGCATGAGTGTGACGGGACGAGAGGAGTGCGGGATGCTGAGAGTGGCTGACATCTGAGTTCAAAGAGGCTTTAGGGGTCACTGTGGCCCCCGGCCAAAGCCATGACCCTCCTGAGGGAATAACAAGAGAGCCTGTCTCAGTATATTGATCAGGAGAGACTTACAAGGAGCTTTAGTGCATTTTAAAAGTTGGGAAGTCTAAAACTCGCACTCTGTAGCAGATCTGAATGTTTTTGTGGAGGAAAAATCTGCACTTGCTATTGTGAATCAGAAAATCAATGTACAGTACAGAGCTGAGTATTAGCTTGGGTCACATTGTACGGTCACGATTCATAAGTGCTGTGCAGTTGATTACAGCTCTCATCTGTATTTGATTTGAAGCTCAAGGACTTTGAGATGAAGTGTCTTAATGGCCCAATATTTGGCTTTAACTGACCTTGTCTATCAGCTCTTGATCTGATGTATTGATGATGCTTAATTAAATCACACTCTGGGTGAATGGGTTAAGCTGAAAGGCAGAGGCTGACAGCGGATAGATCAATAACACCGATCAGGGAAATGAAGATCTCAGGCTCTCAAAGGAGAGATAAAGCTGGTGTTTAACAAATTAACATAAGAACTGAGGTGACAAAGCAGTAAAAAAAAAAAAAAATCATTAAATTATAAGCACTTTTCTCTCCCTTGAGAACCGGCTAGCAGAGCTCAATTAACACTTAATTAAAGATCAGCAAAAAGAGTGATGTTGACCATAAGCCAAACATAAACCGACTTCACTGATCCAGTTATTACATTTGACTATGATTTAGATTATTGGTAAATCTCAAAAAAACCTACTGCGAGATTCCCCCAAATAAAGCAATTGCATTCTTTAACCCTATTTTTAGGACCATTATCATTTTTGCTCTGTGGCACACAATTCTCATTACCATAAAGCAAAAAATATGTATTTATTTAAATTTCATTTTTAAGGCAGTATAACAAAATGTGACCATTATGTATAATTTATGCTGATTTAATACAGATCACCATTAAACATAATGGAAAATGCTAGATGCATGCTGGGCGGTGTGCTTAATGACATCTAAATAATGTTACAATGCAGTTTCTTTTTATGCAAAAAATAACTTTTGAGCAGTTGCGGAATTATTTGGACTTAAAAATCAGTTTACAATCCAGTTACATGTCATATTTCAGTAAATGAAGAGCCGTTTTCTTTTTCCAGATGGCCACAGAGGTGTTGGAGAATCTTCTGGAGGAGGATGACGAGGTTGTGGAGGTGTGTGTTAAGTTTTTTTTTTTATCATCTTTTTTAAATGGTAGAAGTGCTTTTACTCATTTCACAAGTTAGCCAGTTGTAAAGAGTTTGATTAATCTAAATAAATCATACCAGACTGAGATGATTCAATGTTAAAAAGGACAATAAATGACTTATTATAACATATAAGGTGTTTGTTTCTCGTTGTTGTAGTTGTTTATTATCAGGCCTATTTTACCAGCTCTACCTGGTAGGATGTATGACACCAGCATTTGGTGCATTGCTTACTGTCTCAGACAGCTGGATTAATAATATATAGTGCTGTATCCTGCTGAAACAGTAGTTTATTTGTGTGAAAGTGCTTTGGTCTTCACTTTACATTATTAGCTATGGAAATTACACAGTGCTGAAACTGAGATACTGGAACATCGTATTTTGACAGACCAGCACACACACACACACACACACTTGTATATGTGGTTTACGGGGACTCAACATATACGTAATGGTTTTTATATTGTAGAAACTGTCTTTCCCCCTAACCCTACCCCTCAAAGAAAACTACTGGCATTTTTTGAATAAAAAAACCCCACTTTTTTTATGTTGGACATTTGGTTTGCAAAACATTTGGTTTTGACATCTTTTTCCAACACCTTAATGTTACATAAATGATGGTTTGCAAAACCATCAAAAGCACAAAAAGCATTATTAAACTAGAAGGCATTCTGATCTTTTCTTCAGACTTGTTTAAAAAGAACTTATACAGTACAAACAACATCCTGAGAGTTGATGCATGATTAATGAGCGAAAGTGAAGCCAATACATTATTTAAAAAATGAATATGAAACTTATGACTAAAATATTTTATTTCTTTTTATTTTATTTAGATTTTTTTTATCACCAGTCCTTTTAGCTGTTTTAAAAAGTCCTTTGATATGTAGGAATCGGAACTGGAACATTAAATTCCTTTGATTCCCATCCTTAGTCTACGCAATGAGTCTAGTCCCACACACAAACATACACACACACACACACCGCTCGGGCAGCCATGTTGCCCCTGAAGCCGGTTTACACTGAGATAATTCATACCCCTTCGTTTGAAGTGTGGTCCCGAAAAATCTTCGTTTGAAGGGCTATCTGGCCCTTCCCCTTACCCCTACCCCTCCGACCAAAAGAGAATCGAGACACCCCTACCCCTTCACGTGAATGCGCGAAACGGAGGGGTAGGGGAAAGGGGAAGGTCTAAGGGGTAGAATTGGGATTGGGCCTTAGTCTGATTTATAAAGTACTCTTTTGAACTCGTCTTTTAAGTTGATCCAAACAAAACAAAATCAGAAGTTACCATATGAATTAGTATGATAAATCTGTAAATGAATCTCTTAAAGTGCTTTCTGAATCACCATTAAGTTATCATTACTTCCAGTAGTCTATAATATGTTACAGAATAGGAACTGGATAACTTGCATATAGCGAAATGAAATGGAATCAGATCGGAATCGTGTCAAATCAGGAAATCCATAACCAGTCCTAAACACAAAATGATCATATGGCTTCAGAAGATTTGGAATATATCTCAAGAGTCATATGAACCACTTTTATGGTCCTTGTTGCCACTTTTAAAGCTTGACGATATTTAGTCTCCATTCACTTTGACTGTATGCAAACAAAACTCATTCTTTGAGTCCCTTTAAAGCTTTGCACATTATGTAGATGAAATCAAAAGGTATTACTTTTCCACAGTTTCTTCAGACGTTTATTTTCTTTTAAACCTCTCTTGAGCCTCTTCATCAGATAGACTGCGTTAACGTAGACACTGCCAGGGGCTGTACACCTCCACAGGGGCTCAGGCATGTTACCAACTCCTGGTCCGCCAGCTGCTGTCAGACATCCGTAATCGTATATATGTATCTAAGAAACGTTCAAGCAGATTTATGCATTCAATTTGAACTTCTTAAATGGAGAATCCCACGTACCCCATAGCAGTTTTCCTCCGGCCCAAGCATTTGACTTTATCCGTCCCTTTTATCTGTTGCTGAGAGCTTCGAGCCGGCATCGGGGAATGATATGTGGCTAAGGAGAGAGAGCGAACATGAGCATCAATCCCTAAAGTAATTATCTCAGCTCCTCCTCATTCCAAAAGGCTAAATATAAGTGAAGTTTTTAGCTCCCAGTGGCAGCCATGTTGCCTTTGATAAACGGTGCGACTATAAAATTCGGGTGCGAAAGCGAGTATGTGTGTATTCTGCGTTCACACAGCCTGGCTAGGAGTATAAATTCTCCTGCACGCAGTCCGTCTTTCTGCCATGCACAGTCGCTCGCACGCACACACAAAAGCAGATACAGATAGGCGGGCGAGTGTGGTTGTGCTAGATTGGAATTGTCAGAGGTGTCACATTAAATGTGCTATTATTAAGTCCAGGCTGAATTTTATGGCCTTGCAGGATCGTAAATTGGTCGACCAGTCCCTTAAATTACGTATCCATCGAGCGATGTGCTCTATCCGTCCTCACTTTTCTCCTGCTTTACTTTCTCTTACTCTCTTTCTCCCCCTCCCTTTCAGCGCGTACATATACACGAGAGCTTGATCTTGACTCTGTGGCCCTGGTTGAAATGGATGGCATGAGTGTGACGGGACGAGAGGAGTGCGGGATGCTGAGAGTGGCTGACATCTGAGTTCAAAGAGGCTTTAGGGGTCACTGTGGCCCCCGGCCAAAGCCATGACCCTCCTGAGGGAATAACAAGAGAGCCTGTCTCAGTATATTGATCAGGAGAGACTTACAAGGAGCTTTAGTGCATTTTAAAAGTTGGGAAGTCTAAAACTCGCACTCTGTAGCAGATCTGAATGTTTTTGTGGAGGAAAAATCTGCACTTGCTATTGTGAATCAGAAAATCAATGTACAGTACAGAGCTGAGTATTAGCTTGGGTCACATTGTACGGTCACGATTCATAAGTGCTGTGCAGTTGATTACAGCTCTCATCTGTATTTGATTTGAAGCTCAAGGACTTTGAGATGAAGTGTCTTAATGGCCCAATATTTGGCTTTAACTGACCTTGTCTATCAGCTCTTGATCTGATGTATTGATGATGCTTAATTAAATCACACTCTGGGTGAATGGGTTAAGCTGAAAGGCAGAGGCTGACAGCGGATAGATCAATAACACCGATCAGGGAAATGAAGATCTCAGGCTCTCAAAGGAGAGATAAAGCTGGTGTTTAACAAATTAACATAAGAACTGAGGTGACAAAGCAGTAAAAAAAAAAAAAAATCATTAAATTATAAGCACTTTTCTCTCCCTTGAGAACCGGCTAGCAGAGCTCAATTAACACTTAATTAAAGATCAGCAAAAAGAGTGATGTTGACCATAAGCCAAACATAAACCGACTTCACTGATCCAGTTATTACATTTGACTATGATTTAGATTATTGGTAAATCTCAAAAAAACCTACTGCGAGATTCCCCCAAATAAAGCAATTGCATTCTTTAACCCTATTTTTAGGACCATTATCATTTTTGCTCTGTGGCACACAATTCTCATTACCATAAAGCAAAAAATATGTATTTATTTAAATTTCATTTTTAAGGCAGTATAACAAAATGTGACCATTATGTATAATTTATGCTGATTTAATACAGATCACCATTAAACATAATGGAAAATGCTAGATGCATGCTGGGCGGTGTGCTTAATGACATCTAAATAATGTTACAATGCAGTTTCTTTTTATGCAAAAAATAACTTTTGAGCAGTTGCGGAATTATTTGGACTTAAAAATCAGTTTACAATCCAGTTACATGTCATATTTCAGTAAATGAAGAGCCGTTTTCTTTTTCCAGATGGCCACAGAGGTGTTGGAGAATCTTCTGGAGGAGGATGACGAGGTTGTGGAGGTGTGTGTTAAGTTTTTTTTTTTATCATCTTTTTTAAATGGTAGAAGTGCTTTTACTCATTTCACAAGTTAGCCAGTTGTAAAGAGTTTGATTAATCTAAATAAATCATACCAGACTGAGATGATTCAATGTTAAAAAGGACAATAAATGACTTATTATAACATATAAGGTGTTTGTTTCTCGTTGTTGTAGTTGTTTATTATCAGGCCTATTTTACCAGCTCTACCTGGTAGGATGTATGACACCAGCATTTGGTGCATTGCTTACTGTCTCAGACAGCTGGATTAATAATATATAGTGCTGTATCCTGCTGAAACAGTAGTTTATTTGTGTGAAAGTGCTTTGGTCTTCACTTTACATTATTAGCTATGGAAATTACACAGTGCTGAAACTGAGATACTGGAACATCGTATTTTGACAGACCAGCACACACACACACACACACACTTGTATATGTGGTTTACGGGGACTCAACATATACGTAATGGTTTTTATATTGTAGAAACTGTCTTTCCCCCTAACCCTACCCCTCAAAGAAAACTACTGGCATTTTTTGAATAAAAAAACCCCACTTTTTTTATGTTGGACATTTGGTTTGCAAAACATTTGGTTTTGACATCTTTTTCCAACACCTTAATGTTACATAAATGATGGTTTGCAAAACCATCAAAAGCACAAAAAGCATTATTAAACTAGAAGGCATTCTGATCTTTTCTTCAGACTTGTTTAAAAAGAACTTATACAGTACAAACAACATCCTGAGAGTTGATGCATGATTAATGAGCGAAAGTGAAGCCAATACATTATTTAAAAAATGAATATGAAACTTATGACTAAAATATTTTATTTCTTTTTATTTTATTTAGATTTTTTTTATCACCAGTCCTTTTAGCTGTTTTAAAAAGTCCTTTGATATGTAGGAATCGGAACTGGAACATTAAATTCCTTTGATTCCCATCCTTAGTCTCCGCAATGAGTCTAGTCCCACACACAAACACACACACACACACACACACACACACACACACACTCTCTCTCTCTTTCTCTCTAATAGATATCTGACAGATTGAGAGCGCTTACAGAGTGTTCTGAACATTCGGCTCAGGAGAATCAGAGAGTGTGAAAGAGAAAGAGACAGAGAGAGTGGGAGTGAGAGATGTTTGAACTCTCTGTGGTGTGTTATTGAGACATCAGAGGAGGGGTATAGAGTGTAACAGTAGGTGATAAAGTGAAGAGCACTTCAACACAGCACAACAAAAACATGCGCACACACACCCTTCCCCACAGCCCTTTTGCGTCTGACTTCTCATTTTTCAGGGTACAAACAAAGCTGCCCGATTGTTTGTTTCTCCCTCTCTGTTCGCTGCAAAATAAGGTTATTTTAATCCTGCCTGAAATCAAATATTTATAACGCTGACAGAGTGCACAGGAAGTGCTTTAGGTTTGTTTTGTTAATTACAAGAGGCTGACTGACTGTCTCTGCCTACTTTTATGTATGTACTGAAGCGAGAGTGGGGTAAGCTGTGCCAGATTTGACATAATTGATCCTATAGGCCAATGTTTCCAAACCCTGATCTTGGAGTAACTCCAACACTGCACATTTGGAACCAATGGGGAATATACGAATGATTTGCATTTCAAATGAAAATATGAATAGAAAATAAATAAATAAATAAATCTGCATACTAATGTGTAACCCATTTTAAGTCTGTTTGTTGCACATTATTCTCATTTTAATAAACCAGCCAGGAAAAGGTTTTAATAATCCGAAAATTTGTATATAGTGCAAAAATAGTCAACATCTTGTAATAGTATTACCTGCATTATTTTGAAAACAATTCTTTAGTTTTAGTTAAACCACAGACACAGCTTACCCCAAAAACAATTTGGTTTAATAAAACCATAAATTATTATAAATTGTCAATAATTATTATAATTTTTTAGCGAAATAATCAGCATTTTTGTACAATGTTTAAGCACACACACACACACACACACACACACACATATATATATGTATTTATACAAAAGTCATTTTTAAATTATATATCTATTTTTTATTTTATATGCTTGTTTGTGTATTTTCTCCTCTTCCTGTTTCAGGTGTGGTATCTGTTGGGATGGCTGTTTTATTTGCAGCTGGACAAACAAGACTTGACAAACAACGGTGTGAACTTCAGAAAATCAGCTTGGACGTACCTTAGCAAGGCCAAAAAGGTACAGCTCACACACATACACACACTGTTCTTTTGGAAATGATGAGGCCTGATCTGATCTGATTTCATCTTGGCGTAGTTTTCATTCTCCCCCACATACAGTGCACACACACACACACACACATTTTCTACCTGGCTGATTTCTCCACTCCTCCCTTGGTCCCTTCTCATTTTTTCCATCTGTCATGGCTCTCTCAGCATGCCGTCAGCTCTTTACCTACTGTGAAATTTCTCAAACTCTGCTGGTGTCCGAGTGCTATAGAAATGGAAAATGAAAGGCAAAGTTTGAAAGAAAACGAGAGCGGGAATAGCTTGCAGGTTGAGGTATCACAATACCTATAACTCTTTTTTTTTTTTTTTTTTTTTTTTTTTAACCAACCCCTGTCCTTTCTTCTTGCTCTTCCTCCTCCCCATTTCCATCTCTTCCTCAGGCTTTTCGCTGTTACTGGACTTTGGTTCTCTCTGAAGAAACCTTTGGTCACTACATGTAGTTTCTTTTGTTCCTCTTCCATCGCTTTTCTCTCTCTACGTCTCGCTCGTTCTCTGATGGATCCGTCGTCATTCATCCTTCATTTCCTCTGCTTCACCTTGCAGCCTCTCGTTTCCTTCTCATTTTTAGTCATTTCAATTTAGGGAAAGACCATTGATGCACACCTGTTGTCTCACATATATCTGTAAATCCATACTGGATGTCTTTTCTTGAGACTCTAAAACATAGACTTTCATTGCTTAATGTTATTGCAGAATGCGCTATTGATAGGTAGTTATGGCCAGCCAATAGGAAAGCAGGAGACATCTATCTCAGTACTCTTATCGATCCTAGAGGCTTTTCAAGGTCTCAGACATGTACGTAAACCTTCAAATTAAAACAGCCAGACGAGACATAATACAAACTCCCAGCACCGTCTTTGTTTTGACTTCACTAATAAAGTAAAAGTTACAGATGGATAAGGAAACATGATCAGTAATGCATGTCTAATCTAGAGTTTCATCTAAGATCTCACTAATGTCTCAAATTGTGCTCAGCAAAGTGTGCAATCAAAAGTCAGAGACCTCAATATGAACTCAAGCATTTCTCACCAAATAATCTGAGCTGATTTTCACTTAATTTATTTAGTTGTATACCCTATGACAACTATTGACTTAGAAACAGCGTTATCAATTCAATTCAACTCGTTAATAATTTAATAAATTAATTAAATCTAATTAAGCAATGAATTAATTATATTATGTTAAATATAATAATTCTAAATAATTATTAAATATAAATGTTATTATATATATAATATTTATTTAATATATTTTTGTATACATTTACTCCTTAATAAATGTGTTATTTTCATAATACATAAAATTTCTTTAGTCTTTTATGTATATCTGTTTAATTCTTGCACTTATTTCTTTGTCATCTGTTTATTTAATCATCTGTTTATTTGTAATCTGTGATAATGAGAGGGCTTGGTCTTTAATATAGTGGGTTTGGGATTTTTTATGTTTTAATCAAAATTTGGAAGTAAAAATATAATTATACAATAAATAATGAACCTATTCTCTTTCATTTGAGAGTCCTTTAAGAGTATCTCTGCATCTGCATAATCTTGAAAGACTTCATAAGGTCTTTGGAGTTTGTCTACTGTTTAAATCTGTGAAGAAGAATCTTTATTTATGCTGCTTTATACATTTTTTAAAAGGAAATTTGAGAGTAAAAATTAGCTCATGAGCACAAAATATGTAAATAAGACCTGAAAGTCACACTCTTGGCTTTGGCTCAGACTTGTGAATATTTAATTATGTTCGCTAACGTCTCAATTATTCATCTGCTCTTTAATCAGTGCCCCATATTGGCCAAGCTTTTGTTAGCTGTGTCATTAATATGGCCATAATAAAGCAAACAGTAATTATTTATTAATTAGCCTTTTAGAAGGTCATCTCTCTGCACTGTGAAATATACTGCCAGTTATGAATGAGTTGCCAGCTTATTGCTTAGTATTAAAAGTGATAACCTTTCAACTTTTAGTAATAGTATCACCTAAACTGTTATTAAATCTGATGATCATGTAAATTTTTTGACCTTTGAGAAGAGAATATTTCAGTAGCATCATAAAGAGTCTTATTTTCTGCACAATTTCTCTGTAAATGGGAATAGTTGAAAATTTCCTGAAAATTTGCTCACCCTCAGGCAATCCAAGATGTAGATGAGTTTGTTTCTTCATCAGAAACCAACTTGGTGAAATGTAGCATTACATCATTTGCTCAACAGTGCATCCTCTGCAGTGAATGGGTGCCGTCAGAATGAGAGTCCAAAAAGCTGATAAAACATTAGGGGTGTAAATCGGATGGTTCGTCACGATACGATACGATATCGATTCTTATACCCAGCGATACGATATTTGCCGATACTTCAAAAAATTCTACGATACATTTTCGATACGATTTCATACAGGAGAATATCGGTCGATATATCGATATTATTATATTATATACCTAACCATCTACATTTTTATTAACTCACAAATGCAACCAAAACATATAACATGAACATTTATCTTAAATTTTCACATCCTGTTCCTCAATTTGGACATTCACAACAAAAAATAGGCCTACACTTTTTTTTAAATAATAAAGAAAAATAAATAATAAAAAAAAAATTAAGTCACACACAAGATCAGTAATCTTAAGATATGACAACAGTCAAGACAGTCCTTTAGGTTTCTGTGCTAAAATATGCAATGTGTAAAATAATGTAAATCCTCATTAGGAAACAACACAAACGAGAGAGTTGTAGGAAAAAAAACTACATTAATATAGAAAAATAAATAAAAGAAATTAAAAAATAAAAGCTGTTAACTTCATTTGAGACTTTTTTGGCTGCTACTATGGGCTCAGTGCTAAAAAACCTTTTCTACAGATAACCAAATTACAAGCAATAGCAGAAAATAAATACAATATAACAAAGACACAAATTAAATAAACAGTGCTTTTCAGGTTTTTCAGGTAGATCTAAAAGAAGTTTTCAGAAATTTAATAATCAAATGTAAAATAACACTGCATAGTCTTCACTGTATAGATTAAATATAGATTAATCCGTATAAAAGTTGTTCAGCCAAAATCAGTGAAAGATTTTTTTCTTTGACGGAAGTTTTCTGTAAGTCTGCTTTCACTTTAAGAAGGAAAGCACGGATCCAATATACTGATACGTACACATGCGTTTTCTTTCTCAACTGTTTACATTAAGGTATAGGCCTAACCGACTGTGTTTACTAGGATATTCGCCAAGGCGCACATGTTGATGTAATTTGGTCTGTATTTGTTCATCCATACACAAAAAAGCGTAAGGGAACTCAATTAGGTATTAGCGTGCTGTCGATGCGGCTGTCTGTATGCGTGCGCTAGTGATGCGCGGATGGCGGTTATATCCGCGGGCGCTGCGGATAATCCGCGGATCGGGTGGGTCGGGTAATAAAAAAATGCATTCTGATTATTTGCGGGTGGGTCGCGGGTGGATAAAATAAATCATTAATGATGCAAGTATTAACTACATTTTCTAAATTATGAACGTGTTTTAAATAGGCTACAGAAATTGAATAAACTGTAAATTAACATTAAAAGTTATTCAACAAAACATTATTTAGTCAAGAGCAGTAAGGGATTTTCTCTGTCTTTTGTTGTTTGATTAACATTAATAAAAGACGGCACAGCTTTATTTAGGCTGCTGTCACAAGACCTATTTCACGGATCCAATACTGATACTCATGCGTTTTATTTTGCAACTGTTTACATTAACTTAAGACAAAACCGACAGTACTTTCTCAATTTGGTACTTGCAGTACGTGCTTTGGATGTGACTGTGAGCGCACGCGCCTCTGGAGAGCGCGAGTACCGAATGGCTTAAAAAGACGTGAAAATAATACATTTTTGTGACGATGCAACAATGACCGATCAGGCTATTGACAATTCTGTCAACTGTCCCGAAACGCGAGCTAAAGTCTTCTATCGCAGCGTGCAGCAGCTCTAGATGCGTCGATGTGAAGCGAAAGTCAAAGAGAGAAGACGCGGAAAGGAAAACTTGAAATCGCATCATATGACCCCTTTAATACATGCATACACATTGTACATGCAGACATATTCCCAATATCTAAAATGGAGACTTTGAAATATTACATTGTTAGCCTGTTGCCCAGCTGCTGAGGGTTGGATCTTCAAACGTATTTCCATATATTTTTAATTCTTCAGTTTCATGCCTTTGCTTTAGTGATCATTAGCAAGTTGTTGTGAAACTGATGGCTCCTGAGCTAATCTCTTGATTACAGCCTCGATTTTTCTCCTGAATCGATTGATTTCCCCTGCTCCTCTGATTTTAATTAGCTTGTGGCTACTCTGCCTGCTGTGGATTTGTTTTCCGTTTCTGCGCTCATCATCCCATCCTTCTCTCGCTTCCTTACTCTCTGCTCGTTCCTCCGTCACAGTCTATGACTTCAGGCAGAGTTCAGATTCCACTTTAGCCGCTATTCACCATTGATTTTCTGCCTTCTGCTCAATGTCCAGCTCTTTACACGTCCATCCCTCAATACCCACCTCTCCATACCTCACTACCTCTCTTTTCTCGTCCTTTCACTCGTGCCATTCCTCACTACCTCTCTTTACTCCCTCTATTCCTTGCTAACTCTTTTTTTCTTCCTCTCTTGCTCAGTACTTTTTTGTGTGTATGACCCTGTTTATACCTGCAATTAACATCCGCCTCGCTGATTCAATCACAGGTGGTCAGTTGAGATTTTTTGCTGCATATACCTGGTCTTAAAGGATTAAAGGGTCCCTCGTGTTGGTCCAGGCCTTCATGATTGTGGAACATGGAACACAAAACATGTTTAATAATATCCTGCACAGTGTTTTCAATGCAAATATAATGAATGAATCTTTCTAGCTTTAAAAAGTAAGTATAAAGGTATAAAAAAAAAAAGTGGTCCATATGATTTGTGGTCCATACTCTAAGAAGTCCTCTGA